GTGCCAGTCCGTGCTTTACGCACCTATATGGACAGGTCAAAAGAGTTTTGATGCAATGACCAACTCTTTGTATCCTGGGCTAACCCTCATAAGGGCAAGCCCGTTACCAGGCAACGGCTCTCCCACTGGATTGTGGAAGCGATTGCTCTGGCTTATATGAGTCAGGGTTTGCAGGCACCAACGGGCCTGCGTGCTCATTCTACTCGTGGACTGGCTACATCCTGGGCTTTGTTCAAGGGTGTTTCCATCCAAGACATTTGTGCAGCAGCGAGCTGGTCCTCACCGCTCACTTTTGTCCGCTTTTACAGGCTAGATGTCTCTGCTCCAAGTGTGGCCCGCGCAGTGCTGGGCCCCGTGTTGAGACAGGGTTCTACCTGTTAAGTTCTGGTTGTTTTGGTGATTTTCGAGATAAGCATGTCTAGCAATACGGGAGTTTCAATATCACATAGTGAGACATCGAATGGAGTGTTATGAATGAGAACTATAGGTTACTTACGTAACCCCAGTTCTCAGAGTAACATGAAGTGAGATGTCTCACCAGACGGCCCTCCTTGCTAAGGCGAAGCGAGAAGAGGTGCTTATTTTGAATGACGCTGCGACGTAGCGCAAGCTACTTAAAGGGTGGGTGGATTCCCTGACGTAGACGTCAAGATCACCAGCCAATCAGGATTGGCGTAATGAGATTGATGCTTCTGTTTGCATATGCGTTGAGGCGCATCCCATAGTGAGACATCTCACTTCATGTTACTCTGAGAACTGGGGTTACGTAAGTAACCTATAGTTTGTGTGTCTATGTATTTTCCCCATAAGGCAAGACCCGCCCAACTCTGTCTCTGATTGGCTTACCCTGAAATGTTACCCCGCGTTAACCAATCATCACTCTCACTTTTCCATGGTACTGTGAGAAAACATCACTGTATTCGCCTGTAAGTTACATCCATTGGGAGATTCGGTTCAGTTGGATGGTTGGATCACATAATGTAACGCAGTAACGCACCTATTTAAATCACAGTAACTATAAAGGCGTTACTGAATGGGAATTTGTAACTAGTAACGTTATTAGTTACCACAAAAGGTAGTTGCGTTACAGTAACGCGTTAGTTTGTAACGCATTGGTCCCAACACCAGTAGCACACTGACTTGGGTCAGTCATATATATTTAATCAGAGAAAAATGTTTGGGATCTGAACATTAAGCTTGATAAGTTATTTTTGTGCTTAATGTGCGTTAACAATCCACCTTCTTTCTTCCTGCAGGGAGGCTTATATTTCCTTCAACTTTTTGACCATTACGTTTGTAGTGGCAGCAATCTTCTTCTTCTTTCAGTGTTTCAGTCAATAGCAATCGGATGGATATATGGTGAGTCATTATGGTTATCCTGACTAAATCAAACAAAACAACAGATGTTGTTTTATGTCCATTCAAATGATCTTCTACCTAATTATAGTATGTCTTAAAACATTGTGTCGCTTTTCATTATGACTCGGTAAAGTAAATTAAAGTAAAGTAAAAAAAAAAACATTTTAATTAAAAACAAAAATAAATGTGGTATGTTTTATTCTTTGGTTAGTGATGTTTTTGGACTGGTCTACCCAACCAGAGCAATGTACCTGGACTTATTTCTAACTGGAGAGAGATGAGCTGTGTGAAGGCTGGCACCTTCAGCTGTTGAGCACTGGACTAAGGGGTTGATTTAGGATAGGATGGTGCCTTGGACATTGCTAACTGAAACGGCTTAGACCACATCGTTTGGTATCTACATTTGAAGGACCGGTTGCAAAAAAATATCAAATTTCCCTCTAAATGATTTGAAGTATAGGGCTAAAGAAGACAGTTTTCTTCGCTCATATAAAATCAACCTCTTTTTGGAGAGGCAGTTCGTCGCAATCAGACCTTTAGTTTTGCTTAGTGTCAAAAAGGACGTTTTCCCTGCATCTGAAGGGTTAGGATATGTCAAAGGTTGGATTTGGATAATCTATCCTCCTCATTTCCTTTCATCTCTCCGCTATTGCAATCTAATAAAGGCATAAAAACTAACCCAAAAAGTCTCAAAGAAAGATTTGTGTGATAGAAAGTGTTGTTAGTTCAATATTTAAAAAAACACAACACTTACAAATCCATAATAAATATATATATACATTAATCAAGTATATGTAGTCTTTGTTGGGTTGTAGCAGCAGAAACACTGGCCTGGTATTTTATCACAGATATACTAGCATTTATGTTTTTGATAGGAAATGGTATAACATAAAAATGAGGTGTGGTGCTTTTCAGTGGATTTACTAGATTTTGTCAACATTTACGTTCCTTTGTTCTCCCTACATTCAGCTTTCACTCCTTGTTAATCTTGTTTAAGCTTGATGGGCATTAGATCCCCCTGAGGAGGGGAGTTTGATCTCTTTGGCCCTCTTGAATGAATACAAAAGATGTAAGAGAGCTCAATACATTCACTCTAGAAAAACAAGTCCTTCACACTGCCTCCTTCTCAACAGGGATTTAAATGCTTCCTCAGAGTTGTTTGGATAAATGTGAGAAAATATATATGTGGTGCCACCTATAGTAGGATAAATATTAGAATTGAAACATTAGCACCCACAATACTTACTCTTAAATCCCACCGGTGTCCATTTACGCACATGCCTGGTGTGAAGTCAAAGGAGTTATCAGCATAGCACATCAATTCATGTTACATCATGTATATGTTTATGTTAATTTGTTATGTACAGAGTTCAAGTTTAATATCTTAATATTTCCCTTTTGATAACCAGGTGCAGATCGTTTTTATGACAACATCGAGGACATGGTAGGCTATCGTCCGTGGCCAATAATGAAGTATTGCTGGCTTTACATTACCCCGACTATTTGCTTGGTGAGTGAAAATGTTGCTTTGATTCCCTGTAAAAGTAAAATGTGTGTCCTAAAATGCATCTATGCATAGTATACATGCCAAAGTGAATGAGCATTTTCTGTGATTAAGGCAGTAAACAATAGATTTTTCCTACTTCTTTTTGGTCTTTAACATCATATTGAATGATTACATGTTTTATTGGGTTTGGGTTACCATCGGTCTTTGAATTAAACAAAGTTTCCTGAGAATTGAATTCAGACATACAGGCTACATTTGAGAGTTCTGAGTTTGGGTGGATAGGAACAATCTTTTCTTTGAGGCTGAGAAAACAGTTGTTCGACAGAAATGTATTGCCTACTGTGAGGTAAAACAGAGAGGAAAGAAGGTAGAGAAGCATATGGCAGCTTCTGTGCTTATGGTATATAAAACAGGAAACCTGATAAGTTCACATGTTGACATTTAGCAGAACAAATATTGGGCTTTTTATATTTTCTTTTTATTGATGCACCTCTCCCTAATAACTTTTTACATCAAACTACCTCTGAACCAAAAATATGGTGGAAGGAATTAAATGTGTACCTTACAAATACTTGAGTATTACATATGAATATATCATTTTAAAAGTTGGAAGATTGGGGAATTCAAAGAGAAATGGCAGACATTTTATCAAAGCCTGATGAACCCACTGGCCTCAGTGGGCGACAGACAACATGACCCCCCTCACAGCCGCTGCTCTCCTGAAAACTTGAGTGTCAGAAAGGTCAGGTTCTGAAGTCGGGTAATAAGACTTGGCTCGTGTCTCAATTCTTTCCGGAGATATTTGAAAGGGTCGGGTCAGGGTCCAGTTCCACAAGGATGTTTTTAGACCAGGTATAAAGTGTCAGGTCAGTTTTGCTCTTAGATCTGCAAGTTACAAAGATTCACTTGAATAATAACAGAATCAGACATTTCAACTTAAGATTTCCATCCTCATATTATGGGACAAAAAACATGACTGAAAGTGAAAACTGATGTTTCTTTTGCTATATGCACATAATTAAACTCTCAGCAGTGTAGCCTTCTTGCATACAGTATATAAACAAAACAACACATAAGGAAATAACATCAGGTTGTTTACCCTAATCAGCTACCAAACAACATTGGAGACATCATTTGACATCATGCAGAACACATTCTTTTATAGGGTAGTATGCATTATTTAAAAATAAATACAGTCTAATAAACTTGAGAACACTTCCATGTTCCAATGAAAAAATGTTTGATTACCTATACGTCACTGTCGAAGTAAAAGTTTGTAAATTTCACTGAAACTGTATCAAAATAATAATATTAATTTAATTATTTTTATTTGTATCGTGTCAGAGTACCTTCATCTTTTCACTGGTGAAATACAAGCCTCTCAAGTTCAACAAAACCTACACCTACCCAAGCTGGGCTTATGCTCTGGGCTGGTCCCTCGGATTGCTCTGCGTTCTACTGGTTCCTCTTTGGATGTTCTTCAAAGTTATCCAGATGAAAGGGACAATAGGGCAGGTATGTACTCAGCAGAGAAAGACAAATATTATCACAATGCTTGATGTTATCAAGGGCTTAAACAATATTTCCTTCAACAGAAGACGAACTGCAATTTTTTTTAATGTATTTGTCATTTGAATTGTATTTCTAAAGGAAAATTTGAATATTTACCAAGTCATTCATTATAAAACTTAGTATTTTTGTTTGCCTATATATACAGTCTATGGCCTAAACATGCATTTTAAGTGGTAACCCAGCTAGCTTTTAACAGTATTTAAAACATGTTATCGTTGAACTTCTCTATTTTTATGGAACACTAATGCAAATAATGAATCTATTACTTGTTCCAATATAATGTACTGTCCTCCTAAGTCTTGAAATGTCTTTTATGGTTAATAACTTTCAAAAGAAGCAGCAGTATATATCAACAAGGCCCTCAAGGCATGCATGTCAAGTAGCTGCAGCTGCATGCATGTGCCAACCGAAATACTTAACATGACACTAATGGCAGCAGTAAGTGTGAGAAAATTCGAAAGGAGAGATCAGGCTTTTATAAGTTGGCTCTCTTTGCATGTTTCAGCGTGTCTAAGTGCTGCATATAGTTTTGAATTGCATTGCCATCATTTCATTTTGACTTAATATTATTAAGTGAAAATACCCACCACTATTCAACAAACAGATATTCAGATTGTGTGTTTGGCTTACCACCATGTAAGACGGAGAAAGGCATCAAGACTTTTTTTTTGTGAGGCTGAAATGAAAAATATAGAGAACTAATTGTTTCAACATCAAAAAATGATTAAAAAACTATTCTGAACTAGTACTAGTCACAACAGCACTAATTCAGAGTACTTTATATGGGGCATTCTACCGAATTAGTGCAAAGTGCGGTCCCACAACAAGAACAACTATTTAACAAAACAATAAAGTATTTAGACATAGATATTTACTAAGAATATGTTATGGTCTATTTAAACTCAAAGCATGACATTAGATAGTGATAAGCTTAATATATACAAAAACATCATTTATAGGGTAATTTCTATTGGGAAGTAGCTGTCCCCAACCCTGACACCCTGACATTTCAATTTCTGTAAATAACACTTAAAACATTTTTTAAATGTAGTTCATTGGTGTATTTAGAAGACATTTATGATTACATTCAAACAGAAGTTGGAATATTTAGATTTATTGCGGGTTTAATTTTTTAATGAAAAAACTATACTCAAAAAATCATGTCCCCAGTTTTCATGTCACTACCGAAACACAAGGGGTTTTAGTCCAATGGCTGAGCCTGGTTTTTAGCAACACCCCCTGCATTTTGACGAGGCGCACTGCATGCCCTGTCCTCATGGCTGGAATGGCAGTAGCTATATCCCATACTTTTGGATACTAAATCTTTCAATCTGAAAATTGGCGTGTAACCTTAAGAATTGTCACTACCGAACACGTATTATCTTCAATTAAGTAAACTTTTTCGGTGTTTTATGCAAAGTATTAGGTTGTTATGCATGTTAACCTCTTCAAAAACGTGTATGCTAGCCATGTACTTGCTAGCATTCTTTTGTTATGCTCAATTTTAGCTAGAATCATCACTACCGAAACAGTCACTACCGAAACAGTCACTACCGAAACATATGGTTACGTTTCGGTAATTGACATGATCGTTTCGGTAGTGACAAAATTGAATGGTAAACAGGTAAATCCCATAGTTTTGAAATAAATGTGTTTTAAAGTCTGAAAATCAGTGTGTTACTTTAAAGGTCTCTTATTGGTCCATATATTTATAATTGGTATAACAGTAGCCTCTCTTTTGAGAACACTGATGAAAATATAACTAATTGGAAATGACTTGAGACCTTCTGTATGTGTGCTGAGACCAGGTGAAGATCTCTATCCCTAATTTAGTAGCTTTTCTGTCTACTCTTTAAGAATAAAATGGGAAGAAAAGCTACTACATGCTTACTGTCTTTCCTTGATTGCATATTATCTTTTAATTTATATTATTTATTGGCCATTAACGTTACAATTTTAACTATCAGTGTCTGTCTGCATATGGAGGAACTGGGTGTCATTATCCTTATTGGATTACTCACATTATCTCACCTGGGTCTCAGATCTTGTTTCCTGTATGTTAAGAGCCTTACATAGCAAACAAAGTGCAGCCTTAGTTAAAAAAAGACACTTTAATGTAATTATACAGCTGGTAAGTGCGTACATTCACTAATTAACTTATTTTGTGCATCCAATTACTGAATATGTTGCGAGTATTAGGGAGCAGAACTTCTACATCCTCATTTCGGACAGTCAGTGTGAGAAGTATTTTTGAGTAACCACAGTTCGTATCTAGTAGATCATGGTTGGAGCAAAGCATGCACTCAATTTGTTCCTGAAACAAGAAACTCCTGAAACATCTCATCTACCCCTCGTCGGCTAAGCTCTGGACAAACTACTGATGATCTGCTTTGGACGCATTAGCTCTTTAGCACCTATTAAAGCCAGTACTGTCCAAGGATTCACAACCGCAAATGGAGGTAAATCGCATAAGACATTTCATTTTAAGGGATATTATGCCTTTGGGTTATTAAATAAGTATTTGAAAGATGTCGTAATAAATCTGCTAATTTGCTGTTCAATCAAATGTCAGTGTTGCCTATTTGTAGATTGGAGACCTGGAGATAACGTAAAACCTGCTATGTTATGTTTCTGGATTAAACCTACAAAATAAACGTTTGGATGTTTGAAGCCATAGAAATAACCTTTTCAATCAAATGTTTTTATGTATAACCTACATGGTTACATGTCAGGGAGCCTCTTCCTGGATCAGTTTCAATAATCATTTAATTGATTTTATTTTATGCAAATGGTTAAAACATGCAGCAAGAAACGTAGTGCAGTTAGAGGCAGGAGACTGGAGACGTGTTTAAGGAATAAAACGATAATTATTATGCCATGGCCTCATTAAGGAAAACTGTAACGTCTCTGGTAGAGTCATGAAAGATGAGTTTAGGACTAGGCGAGAAACAGATAACATGAAACGGGATTGTGCATCAGTTTACCAAAAAAAATGGTTACTGAATTTCCTTAATTTATATTTGTTAAAACGTATTTTACATTCAAAAAAAATCACATACATTTTACTAAATTTAAAATTATATATATTACAAAGCATATATACACAACTTAAAACAATTCTCTAATCTCAAAACACAAAGTGTAAGGAGCTGAGTGAAACCATAATCTTCCAGTTCATCATCATGGCCTTTAGTTCAAAGAAGGAGACTTTATAAGCTACAGCATACTGTATCCTGTTCTGTTTTAGGTTTTTATCTATATGCCTATAGCCTGAATTTGCTTTATTGTTTCTATTTAATTTTTCTTTCTAATTTCTGTAAGTGGATCTATATATTCATAAAATACGCTTTACTGTATGTATTAAACTAAAAAGGGGCATTTTAACCCTTTCACGCATAGAGGTCACTACAGTGGACAGCTATTCAAAAGGTGTTTTCTTGTATATGCATGTTTTTTTTTTTGCATAGTTGCACCATCAGCCACTACATAGGACCCTATTGCATCATCCCATACACTGCCACTCAGTGGAAAGTAAGTGCAAGTGCATGATACATTTCTCTGAACCAAGATGAACGACAGAAAACCAGATGGACCAAGTCACTTGCAGATGTTTGCCAATCCTTTCATGGAAAGCTCTCCCTGCAGGTATAAAACATTTGGTGACATCAAGTAACAACTAAGGAATCATATAATTCATAAATCGTCAAAGTAACTCGCTGTTATCCCACCTTGCCTTAAAACTGCCACTTTCATTCCTGTTCCTAAGAAAGCAACCACGGACAGCCTTAATGACTACCGCCCCATTCCACTCACACCTGTGATCATGAAGTGTTTTGAGAGGCTGGTGTTACATTACATAAAGGCCTGCCTTCCCTCGACCCACACCAGTTTGCCTACAGAGCAAATAGATCCACTGAAAATGCCATAGCCATAGCTCTCCACTCTGCACTGAGCTACCTGGAGCATCGTGGGAGCTACGTCAGATTGCTCTTTATTGACTACAGCTCAGCGTTCAACACAATCATTCCGGACATTCTAGTTTGCAAACTATCAAACCTAGGTCTTCCCCCACCCTCCTGTTCCTGGAGCTCTCAACGTGGTGTTCAGTGAATAACCTGGCACTGAACCCCACAAAAACCAAAGAGATCATCGTAGACTTCAGGAGGAATACTACCGACCTCGCTCCCCTCTACATTAACGGCGAGTGTGTGGAGAGGGTCCACACCTTCAAGTTCCTCGGCGTCCTCATCACCAATAACCTTTCCTGGAAGGACAACACCACAGCTGTCATCAAGAAGGCCCAGCAGCGTCTGCACTTCCTGAGGGTGCTCAGGAAGAACAACTTGGCCACTAAGCTGCTGCTGACCTTCTACCGCTCTACCATCGAGAGCCTATTAACATACTGCATCACAGTGTGGTACGCCAGCTGCACTGAGGCCGACAGGATGAGGCTTCAGAGAGTCGTAAAAGCAGCCCAGAGGATCATCGGCTGCCCTCTCCCCTCCCTGATGGACATTTACACCTCCCGCTGCCTCAGTAGAGCCAAAAACACTACAGTGGACAGCTTTTCCAAAGGTGTTTCATGGCGGGTCTTGATGGCATAGTTGCACCGTCAGCCAATTGCATCATCCCATACACTGCCACTCAGTGGAAAGTAAGTGCAAGTGCATGATGCATTTCTCTAAACCAAGATGAACGACAGAAAGCCAGATGGACCAAGTCACCTGCCGATATCCTGCCAATCCTTTCATGGAAAGCGCTCCCTGCAGTTATAAAACATTTGGTAACATCAAGTAACAACTAAGGAATCATATAATTCATAAATTGTCAAAGTATTGATTTTATGTTTGCAGGAAATTACAATTATTAACCTGTCCACTAAACATGGACGTCATGCATCACTGGCTATATTTCAACTAAAATTCATACTGTTACTGCTACTGTTCTTCTTGAAAATACTTCATTTGCGATATCTTTTTTGGCCTTAAATCAATATACTTATGTTATTATAATGTCATTTTAAGTTTGCTCATCTTTATTTATCATATTTTCCAAATGTACA